ATCCAATTGTTCATTGATAGGAGGTCCAAGTGATCTCCTAAACTTATGAGAGACACCCCAGTAAATGTTATTAAAATGTATTAGGATAATGTGTTTACATTGATCATTCATCAAAGGTTTAAGTTTTCTAGACAATAAGGTTTTACATTTAAAGATGCTCTGATACAAAAGGTTTTCATAAGGCTATTGCAGTTGTTTTTTTAAATAGTGTATTGAATGCATTCATGCCTAAGGATGTACAGATCTTCCAAAATGTAAAATAGGGATTGTTTGTAGAGACTGACTTTTCTTTCAGATTCAAATCTTTGCCTTTAATAAAAACTTATGAGACATGCATCCCACTAAAAGTCAACAAGTTACATAAAATTTTGTATGTATTAGCTATAGACTATTGATTAAGAGTTACACTATGTCAAAATGGAAATTTAAGTATGTTATAAAATGTCATCATGATAGTCATGCTGCAAAATTATGTATAGCTTTTGATTTCTAATTTTCTGGATAAATATGTACCTGTTGCCATTCTATAGGAATTCAAATATTAGAACACCCATGATTATTAGAAAATAATGGTTCTATCTTATGTTGTAAGGTCCTTGATATTTAGATAAGACAATAATATCAAGCTTACTGCCTTTATTACAATGTAATATCATTAAACTTCTAGATGTTCAACAACTGAGGTTTGGAGGCCAAAAATTGAAAGATAAATGGTCTAAGATGATAGCCAATATTTTGGATCCAACCTTTTGAGGTCAATGAAGACCCAGGACGTAAGAGAAACTCTCTACATCTCATAGCTCAGTGAGTACCTGTTCTTATGACCAAGGAGATTGTGAGACCACAGAGGAAAGTGATCAGTGATATGTAGTGTACCTAAGGAGAGTCACCAGGAGAGAAAAATCTCCCAAGCTTGCACATAAAGCAATTTGGTCGAGCAATGGCCGTGACTCATCCAGATGGCTGACACTGACAGAAGTACTAACAGGTGCTGTGCATGGTTCCAAGGCAAATCCTGAGGAGACTTAACTGACCTTCATAGATAGAAAGAGATTAATTGTAACTAATACATCTTAACTTGGTCTTTAACATCCTGCAGAAAAGCATAACCATGAAATGTATAAAACAATGCCATAGTAATATTTTAGCCATAAAAAACTCAAATCATTAACATTCTGACAATTGCCAACTACACTGGTAACTGATCACTATTATGAATTAACGGACTGGTTAAATTGCCAAGTGAGGGACTTAAAATCCTTGGACTAGAAATCTTTATCCTAACCTCATAAATTCACTCCAAATGGAAAGAGTTTGACAATGAGTCCTACAGAGTCCTACAAACACAGCTTCTCCAATTTCAAATGACCACTGATTGCTTGCAACTACAAAACAAAAGAGGGAGATGTGGGGAGCAGCTGAAGCTGGAAATTGACTGCACATGCAGGTTAAAGCAAGGTCAGTCCTGTGAACACTGAAAGCCCAAAGTGAGCCCCATAAACAAGCTGTTCTAGCTCCATGTCAACAATTTATTCTAGCTCTGAGAACACAAGTTGCTCAGGCAAGTCATACAAAGTTGCAAAACAGAGGGGTTGAAATTGACAGTAACCTTCTGAGGGTATAAATAAGTGCACTGCAGTGGTTGAGCAGTTCCTTTCCTCCCATCAGGAGACAGGGCTCCACCTAACCTCAACTTTTATCTCTTTTCTTTATTTTCTCTATCATCTTGCTACTGTTCCCCCCAGGAACATCTAGAGCTGCAGCCGAAGGTGACACCCTGCACCTCTGAAGCAAACAAATGGGCTGACTGGAGCCATCTGCATCACAAGTAGCAAACAGAGCCCATCCACAGAATGAGAAAGAATGCTTGAAAGACATTTATCTGATAAGTGGCCAATGACTAGAATATAAAAAGAACCCCTATCATTCAACAACAGAAACCAAGCCAGTTGATTGGAAAAATGGGTAACCTGCATAGACATTCTTCCAAAAAGATATACAAACAAACAATAAGCATATGAAAATATATCAATGTCACTAACTATGCAAGAAATGAAAAATCAAAATTATAAACTAGCATCAGTAGAATGGCCACTATTCAGAAAATCATATGAAGCAAAACAAAACAAAAGTTAGCAAGTATTGGTTAGGATGTAGAGAAATGAGAATTCTTATGCATTATTGCTGGAAACAGAAAATGGTGTAGTCATTGTGAAAAAATAGCTTATTCATATTTATAACCCAGCACTCCAGGAGGCGGATACAAGAGGACTGCAAGTTCAAGCCCAGTCTGGGCAATTTCGTGACTCAGCCACACCCTGACTTAAAATAAAAATTAAAACATAAAGGGCTAAGAATATAGCTGCGAGGTCTCTGGGTTCAAATCTTAACTAAGAAAGAAAGGAAAAGGAAGGAAAGAAGGAAGGAAGGAAGGAAGGAAGGAAGGAAGGAAGGAAGGAAGGAAGGAAGGAAAGAAAGAAAGAAAGAAAAAGGAAGTTATCATCTCATCATTTGATTCAGAAATTCTACTTATGAGATATACCCAGAAATAGGGAAGAGGATCTTAACAGGTATGTGTCCACCTGTGTTCACTGTACCATCATTCACAGCAGCCAACAGGTGGAAGCAATGCACAAATAAAGATGTACAGATATCCATCAATGCATAAAAGAATGTGGTATGAATGCATAGTGGAATACTACACATCCTTATAAAGAAAATTCCGTCGGCTGCTATACAACAGATGAACCCTGAGGACATTATGCTAAGTGCATTGTCACAAAAAGACAAATACTGCATACTTCCACTTAAACGAAGTATGCACAGAAGCCGACTGCATAGAAATAGAAAGTGGGGGGATGGTTGCTAAGGACTGGTTTGGGGGAGAGTTTGGGCCCACAAGGGGCAGTAGGTATTATTGGTGGACAGAACTGCACTTTTGCATTAAGAACGTTCTAGGGTCTGTTGTACAGCTGTACACTTAGAAATGGTAATGGTGGTAAGTTTTATGATAAATTACTTTATAACAGGTGATAAGTTTTTCAAAATCCTCAAGCCTTCTCCTCAGTACTGCCTATTCTGTGGACCGTTCATGTCCCCAAAGTATGTCTCTATCTTTTACACCATATTTATTTATTAATTTTTGGGTGGTTGGTTAGTTGTTTTAGTTTATATCCCCACCTAGAATAAAATCTGATTAGCCCACAGGTTCCTGGTGCATTTCACAGATGATCCGTACCGGCAAGGACTCAAGAATGCTTCCTGAGTTCATTAATTCATTGCTGCTCAAAACGTTCCAAAAGTCACACTGCATCCAACAAATAAATAAAAGTGTAACATTTACACCACAACATAAAGTATAAACAGGAATGTATCAGAGAAATGCAGAGGCAAGGTATTTTAGGAGGAAGGAACAGCCCATGCAAAGGTCCAGAGGCACAAATGACCTTGTTCTCCCAGAGTGTGAGGTGGGGAGCAGGTTAAAGGCGGAGCCGGGATTGGGGTGGTGAGGTACAAAACGTTACACGGTAACAAAACCCTCAGTAATTGATATAAACATACAATACCTAAAATCAAAATGAATGCAAAATATTCCACGCAGGCCAAAAATTAAACAAACCCAGCCTTAGTGAGAGTGCACTGCGGAGCCGGCTATAGTTTGAGGTGAAGGAAAACACTTCGTGCTCCTATTTACATGTTTGTATGTAATCTGAGTGGTCAGTTTATTCCAGAGCACTGAGATAATTAAAATGTTATTGACAAACTGAAATGTAACTTTATTAAAGCACTATTTGAGCTCTAAAGATGTTTTGTATACCCTCAAATAGAACTTATTGTCATTTGGTTTCCTGGAAGCAAAAACAATAATGTTTTTAAAATCTACTTCTTTGCCTCTCCAATTTCCATGCTCAACAATTTCTCCTGACAATTGGAGAGTTTTAAATGACTTTTAAAAGCAGGTTTGTTTGGACTTGTCATTATCTCAAGTTCTAGTATCTGCTTGTTATGAAATTTTTGAGTGATTCCGAGTTTTTCTTTTTCTTTCTTTCTTTCTTTCTTTCTTTCTTTCTTTCTTTCTTTCTTTCTTTCTTTCTTTCTTTCTTTCTTTCTTTTTTTAATTGGTACCAGGGATCAAACTCACTACTGCCTGCTTGCAAGGCAGATACTTATGCCGCTGAGCTAAATCCCCAGCCTTCTTTTTATTTTTTTTTCTTTTTTGATTTTGAGTTTTTTTTTAAATCATGCATTGAAACATTATGTGTCTTGGTTACAGAAATTTGTGGCATCCCTTAAATTGTGCATGCCAGGCAAGCACCTTACTCACCTGACCTTAATTCCAGCGCATAGTGAGTATGATCTGAGACCCAGCAAGTGTGTGGGAGCTGTGTGCTAAACAGTTTGGCTGTATTCTTTAGGTTAGCCTTTGGATCTAATTTAGCCCACTGGCTGTTTTTGTAAATAAAAGTTTTATTGGAACACAGTCATACTCCCCACTAGACATATGCACTATAGCTGTTTTCCTGCTGTAGTAGTGTAGCCCGAGCTCTAACAGCCACTTGTATTGTCTACGAGGACAATATTTACTACCCAGCCCTGTACAATGGGTGTAGGGTAGCAAACACACATTCAGGTGCAGAGGAACTGAGCTTAGTAGCTTTTGGAAGATCACTTGGGTGGGGGACAGGGAAGGTGAGGAGGCCCAGGAAAGGAATCCTGTGTTCTTAGCAATGAGGGAGTCAAGCTGGAAAGGGGACAGATGTTGAAGAGGAAGAAGATACACAACACGATGACATTTTGGCTGTGACAGAAGGGAGGACAGAGAGGCAGGCACTCTGCTCCTGCGCGGCCTGGGGGAAGTGGGGTGGTAGGAATTGTCTGAGGTCAGTGAGATGGAACAGCACTGGTCAGGAGCTTATGGGTGGAGTGGGGGAAAACTGGGCAACACATGGCAGAGCAACCGGAGGCCGACACAGGAAAGATGTCCCGTGTCACTCACTCACCTGTGAGGCCGAGCCACTGGTGGTGTCTTGACCCCTCATTCTTGCTGCTGGCCTGGAAGATTTCTTTCTGCAGGACCATGCTCTGAATGAAGACACCAGGGGGCCATTCAGCCTGGTGGGAGTCCAGGTCCTGGGCACCCTGCCCCCTGCCCCCCAGCCACCCTTTTCCTATTAAGGTGGTGGGATGGGGCTGAAGCTGGTGGGGCTGCCTTCATGTTGGAGCTCTCCAGAAGGCACAGTCATTTGTGTGTGATCATGTTGCAGGAGTCTGGGAGGCTAAGGCAGGAGGATCACAAGTTTGAGCCCAGTCTGGCCAATTTAGCAACTTAGTGAGACTTAGTCTCAAAATACAAAAATTGGGGGGAGTGCTGGGAATTTAGCTCAGTGCAAAGGCCCTGCATTCAATTCCCAATAGTGGAAAAAAATAAAAATATTAAAACAACCTAAAGGTGCTCTCCCGAGCTCCTGGCAGTTTGCCTTAGCCTCGGTCCCTCCTGCCTTGGGCCCATCACCTGTCATCTTCTGGGGACCCCTCATGTTTCCCAGGTCAATGCTCACATGACAAAGATGATACAGAATAACAGGAAGAACAGGGTTGCGGCGCCGGCTCCCGCAATGGCCCCCAGTGTCACTCCAGCCAACTCCGTCCCTCTCGGTGGAGGCTCCTCTTCATCTGCTGACAGATGAGAACCGTTGTGCTGATTCACTGTGTATAATCCGCCTGCCCTTCCTCCCACTCTCTGCAGGACCCTAAACTTCTGCTTCCCTGCTGCTTTCCTGGAAAGGAGAACCGGGGAGGATGGGGCGGGAGAGCTCAGCAAGACTGGGGGAGGAGAGCCAAGCATATAAATGCTGGGTGCAGCTTGCTTTTATTAAAATTTGATAATTTTGTTATCATGGAATATACTTTGCATTCATTTTTGGAAGATTTTTTGCATCCTAGTATGATTATTTCCATTGATTGCTAAAGTTTTGTTTTCATGGTAGTTCTGTACGATTGTTGCTTTTGGTTTTTGGATTCTCCTTAAGTTCTGTGTAAATATCCCATGCTATTCCTGGTCCACAAAAGGACCTTGACACCCCCAGACCCCTATCTTAGGCTCCAGCCCCTGGCTCCCAAGAGCTCACTCTGCCCTTCCTCCAGCCTCACCCTACGCCATGCCTTGGTCCTGCAGGAAGAGGACATTGAGGCCTGGGCAGAGGAAGAGTCCAGGCCTCACAGCAGAGCCAGCACAATGCTAATTCCACCCCCACCCCACCCCACGAAGGTGGGCTGCTGTCTAGAGCAGGGGCTTCTCTGTCCCAGCCCACCAGTCACTCACTCGGCAGAGACCAGTTCAGCAAGATATGCTGCGAGCCCAGGGAGTTCTGTGCTCGGCAGGTGAGCTTTCCTTCACCCCTGAGGTCCTCTGGAGTCAGCTCCAGCACCCCAGGGTTCGCTGGCTCAGAAGGACACAGAATCAGGTTCCCCCAGGACCAGGTCAGCCTAGCCGGGGGATGGCTGTCGACCGCACAGAGCAGGCGCAGAACTTGGCCCTCCAGGACCAGAAGAGAGGAGCCATTCTCCAGGGCTGTGGGTGCTGTAGAGAAGATTCAAGAGGTCAGAGTGATGACGAGACCCAGAGAAAGAAGGGTGCTGGACTCTAGAGAAAGAGACAGACTCTCAGACATGGACCGAAGTGCAGGAAAACATATGCTTTCACCCTGTGAGGGCAGAGATAGAACTCTGTCCCCATCAGTTCAGGACAGCTTGACCCTCACGTTCAAAATTAGAAAAAACAGGAGACCCAGCTGTATTTTATATTTAGAAGCTGGTCACACACACACACACACAAACACACCCACATACTCACAACTACTCATCACATGTTTCTGTTAGAAAAATGCAGTTAGTGCCACTGGCCCAGAGAAGCAGGCACCATAGCCATGGAGAACCAGGGCCGCATGCACTGCTGACACCCTGTGAGCTCTCTGACCCTCGAAGGAACAGACCAGGGCTCAGCAGGCTGTTGTGGTGACTTCTGGGACCAGATTGCTGTATGTCCTGAGTGTGTGTGTGTGTGTGTGTGTGTGCCTGTGCGCATTTGCGCGTCTCCTCCTGCACTTGGATGGAAGCTACTGCGGGGATAAAGAGCAGGAGGAGGATAGGGAGCAGTCTGGAGCTCAGCGCCCCATTTGTGAAAGCTCCCTGACCTTGCAGAGGCTGAGGCTTCTGTGCCAGAGTCTGAGGGAGACAGGAAGGGAGGGGCTGGTGGGGACAGGTGTTCAAAGTGACCATGGGGCTGTGGGTGGGAAGAGCCACTGGGCCCCAACGAGGGATCTGTGTGACCCGCCTGCATCCCGGGAAGGAGGTCCAGGCCCTGGCCGGGCTGAAGAGGCCCCGTGCCACCCACCCCAGCTGCAGGGAGGCCCGTACCTGAGCTGGCTCCCCGGGCCATGATGGTTACAGTCAGGTTCTGTGGGGGGTCTGGGGCAAGGAGACACAGCAGGGCGGTCAGCGGTGAGGCTGAGGGCTGCATCGTCCCTGTCCCCAGGAGCTGCAGAGGTGGGGAGGGCTGGAGGCCGCACCCTCTTGATCCTGCCCTACCGGGGCTCCAGGACTCAGCCCCCAGTCCCGACCCAGCGGCTCTCAGCCCCCAGGGATCCCCCCTCCCGCAGCTGCCCCGCCGTCTTCGCCCCGCTCTCACAGGACACACTGAGGTGCACCGTCGTCCTCCTGGTCACACTGACTCCGGGCAGAGTCACCTGACAGGTGAGGTTGGTGCGGTGGTCCTGGGGCCTGGGCGTGAGGGTGAGCACTGGGGAGCTGGTGACTGTGGGATGCAAGTGGGACACAGAGGCCCCCACCCAGGAGAACATGGGGGGTGTCCCTTGCTCACAGGCCCAGGACGCAGAGCAGGTCAGGTTGCTGGGGCGGCCGGACACCAGGGTCCCAGAGATGAGGATGTTCGGGCGGTGGGTCAGGTCTGGGGAGTAGAGGGGACAGAGGGTTTGAGGACCAGGTTCTGAGGCGTGGCCTTGAGGCAGCTTGGGTCCTGCCTGAGCTCCTCCCACAGCCCTGATGCTCAGCCCCTGGTCCCCAGGGCTGGTCCATCCCAGCTCCACCACAGCCCTGTGACTTCCCCTCCGGCTGCTGCCCGAGCCGGCCTTACCCATCACCCGCACAGACATTGGGTAATCTATGTAACTATAGCGTGTGTTTCCTTTCTCCAGCCGAAAGTAAAACGACCCCTCGTCCTTCTTCTTGGCATATCTGATGTCCAGGGAGCAATTGTTGTCCTCGGGGTCCCCAGTGAGGAGGAATCGACCCCTGGTTTCCTCCCACACCTGTCGTTCTGGGTCATTCGTGGCCACCGGACCACTCCAGCGTCGTAACCTGTCCGGGTACCGGTACCAGTAGCCGTAAACCGGGCCCAACCGAGTCCCATCTTCAGATCGGTAGGTGAACTTGCAGGGCACATGGACACACAGGCCCTTCTGTACCGTCACCGAGCTATTCACTTCCAGGTAGTAAGCCTCTAGGCTCGCCCCTTCCTGCGCCCAGAGCAGCAGCAGCAGCGCCTGCAGAGGCAGCAGCAGCAGCAAGTCCGGATGGAGCTGCATCCCGCCCTGGGAGTCCGCTCCTGGGATCTCTGCTCTGAGGAACCCAGAGCCGGAGCCTCACAGCAGGCCCCCACAGGAAGAGCGGTGCCTCCTTGGGGGCGGAGCTTCAGACTGGGCTCCGTTGGGGGCCCAGCCATCATCAGCTGGCCGCCACCCATGGCCACTAGGCACTCCCATCTCATCCCCACTCAGGGACCCTGTCTTCTCCCTCCCTGCTGATGTCCCTCCCCTTTTCTCTGCAGTGTGAAAATGGGTTCCCTCTGAGCAGACCCCTGAGCCCTACCTGAGACTGTCAGCATTTGTGCAGTCTGGGGTGGGACCCAGGGACAGGATAGACAGAGAGGCCAGGTTGGTCTTGTGAGCAGGAGGCCTCTCCTGACCTGCTCCACAGCTCCAGGCTGGGCACACTCTCCTCACACAGTAAAGTCAGCATAGCAGACCTGGGCAATGTCCCCAAAGGCCACCACCCAGTGGGGAGACCATAAATCTTCCAGGACACCCAGGACCCTCAGTGTGGGGCAAGCAGGTGGGGTGTAGGGTTGATCTCACCCAGGTTGTATGCTCAGTCCCAGTAAGGTTGAGCAGAGAGGGTGCTGGGTAGGGGTGCACATTCTGAGTGCTAAAACACAATGAAGACCTGAGGAGGAACTCAGTTCAACTCAGGTCTGAGGAACTAAGGTTTACAAGAGGCCTCATCACTGTTGTACAGCCAGACTTGGTAGGGAAGAAAGTCAAGAGGGAACGGGCATATTTTGAAAAGAGTAAACGTCTTTGTTTTGCGAGACTGAATTGCATGCTGGGAATGGAGCTCAGTGTTATGGCTTGTACAGATGTCCCCAAACACCTCACACTCTCGTGGCGGGGCTCCCAGGAGGTGACTGGGTTTGAGGGACATGATATTCATCAGTGGATTGGTCCACTGATGAGTTTGTAGTAAAATGTGACGACAGGTAAAGCCTGGTCAGAGGAGGTAAGTCCCTGGGGCATGACTGGGAAGGGTCTGTCTCCCCCACTACACTGATAGCTCTCTGCTTCCTGTTTGCTCCGCCATATACTGTTTCTCCTCTTCAATGCCCGTCTGCCATGCTACCATCTTGGAGCCAGTCAACTATGGACTGAAATCTCTACAAACTGTGAGCAAAAATAAACCTTTACTCCTTTGAGATGTGAGTTTGAAGTAGTTTGTCCCAGCAACAAAAAAATAACTAAGACATGGAGCCTTACACACACTACACAAGCACTGCATCACCGAGCTACACACTTATCCCTTAAGATAGATTTCCTCACCACTGCTGTGTCTCACTAGCTTGCCACCTCATTACCCCAGAGCACGGTGGGTCTGCCCTGAGGAATCCAGAGAGATGAAGTGAGGAGTGCCAGTCTTGTGGCACTCCTTTCATAGAAGCACACACTCCTGCATCTGACAGAAGATTATTTTTAACTGTCTGGCAAGGACTGGGAGGAGGTGGTGGAAACTCTGGGAGATGGAGCCTGCATTGGTTCCTGTCAGAATGTTTTGGAACTTTGTGAGCAGGAGCGGGGGGTGAGAATATATGACATGTAGATGAAAGTCTCCTAGAAAACAACAGCAAGAGAGGGACTACCACACGTGCTCCAAGATCACTCAAGTTCCCCTTTCGTATTGCTACAACCCCTCCTCCCTGAAGGAGCCCCAAATTTACTTTAGCACCGATTGCTGCCTTGCCTGGAGATTTTGCCATCTGAGGTAACATCTTGAATGCTAAAGCTTTGAACATGCTGGACTAAAGACTTTACATGCAGAAAAGTACACTGGCTTCTTCCATTCAATTTCGTGGATAGTTCCATGCTACACCATTCCCTCATCAGAACCATTATCCATCACCTTGGGGAGAGGCTGTGATGTTTTAATCAACTGTGGTAATTGAGAAGGGGAGGTGCGGGGGTTATGCATGCATAGCTAGAAATTCATGCATATGCACACACACATGCATGCACATGCGTGCAAACACACACATGCATGCTCACAGCTTCTTAGATGTTCAGCTGGTGTTTCATCCTGCAACTCTTCTGAGTCCCTCAATGTGCCCAAACTCTTTCTCATATAGGAACAGTTGCAGCCTCCCAATGATCAGCCCAGTTGGGTCATCGCCCATCTGTTTCCTATGGCCCCCAGCTTGTAGAGAAAAGCAGAAGAATAGGAAGGAGAGATCGGGGGAGGCCACAGAGAATCCACACCGCAAAGAGGAACTTGGGACACAAGTCAAGAGAGCTGGAAGGCCCTCTAGAACCACTTCCCAATTTTCAGAAGGTCCTGCTGGGGTTGAGCATGGTCTGAATACTCATATCTCTCCACAAGTTATAAGTTGAAATCCAAATGGTCAAGGTGAAGACCACAAGAAATGGGATCCTGTAGTTGGTAATTTGGCCATGGAGGAAGAGCCCTTATGAATATGATTAGCAATTTGATAGAAGAGTCCCCAGAGAGCTCATCTGTCCTTGCCACCATTGGAGGACCCAACAAGAAGGCATGATCTATGTGAAACCATGCCCTCACCAGACACTGAACCTGCTGGTGCCTTGATTTTAGACTTCCTAGCCTCATAACTGTAAGGAATAAATGTGTCTCATTTATAAGCCACCTGCTTTATGGTGTCTTGCTTAAACTGCTGAAACAAACTAAGACCGCAAAGTAAATTGCCCCTGTCACACTAGTGATTGTCTTTTGTGTCCTGTCTACCAGTAGAGCCATCTCACCAATTTCTGTCTGCCCTAAATTGATTGGCTAGGAGGGAAGAATTGTCAAGTTTGTATCACAGAATGATGGAGGAAAATTTTTATTCATTCATTCATTCACTCTCTCACTCATTCATTTACAGCCAGGTGGTTCACATTCAGCCCGTGCCTTGCAGTTTCCAGCCAACGGGTAAGTGGAACAGTTCCACTGTTCCTGTGAGAGGCAGCAGTGTTTAGTTGGAAAACAGTCACTGGACAATCCCCAGTGTCACAAGGTAGCTGACCATGATGAGGGGAGCACAGACTAGGGATAGGTAGGGATCTCACAGTACCAGAGGGGAAAGTGAGTTCTTAGTAGAGAATGGGCAGAGTGAACATGGCAGGGACTTTTGGTCAGTCAGGAAGAATCTGGGTTCCACAAGTGATTCTGAGATAGAGGATGTAGCTGGACCCTTTGCACTGCATTCCCAGGTCGTCTCACTCTCCCACTGCACAAGCTGATCCTCAGCCATGCTCCAAATTCTGTGTGTGCCCCACCTGACTCTACCCAGAAGAGGGTGCCCCATCTGCTCAGTACAGACTCTGGCTCTGAGGATGCCTAGGCAGGATGACTGCACTGTTGGAGGGGTTTGAGGTCCACAGCTCTGTGCAGGGTCTAATCACAGAGATGGGGGCCCAAAATCCGGCACCAAAGCATCAACATGTCAGGTGTGCTGAACAATGACAAGGTTTCCCTGGACGGAACCACTCAGGATACAGCAGCTCTTTCTCCTCCAATTTCTGCCCCAACCTCAGGGTGCTGGGGGGTGACTTCAAGCTGTTGTCCCAGGGCACTGGGCTGTTGTTTCCCATTTCCAGGATGACAAAGGTGGAGCCTGTGTGCTGTTCCTTTACATACATGTTTCCATTGACTCCTCCCCACACTCTTGAGCAAGTAGGACAATCCCTACCCCCTCCCATCAGACAGAGGAGACAGCGGTTATGTCACATCACTGAGATGAGCACACAACTCAGCAGCCTGTGGAAGCTGTTTTATGACCTGTGAAAGCAGCCACAGACCTGGGTCCTACTGACCATCACCCTTGTGACTTGCTTAGCTTCTTTCCTCTTGTGGCCACTTTTAACCTGGAAGCACCCAGGGACAGGATTCTGAAGTGCTGCTCCAATGTGGCTGTGGATAGAACACAGAACTTGATAGGGTCTTCACAGTAGGCTTGAAATTACAACTTAAAACAACCCTTTTAATACTGAAGGTAGGCAAGTTAGACAAGTGACTTCCAAGTTTGCCTTTTCCCTGTTCTCTAATGGACTATGTGGGCTACTTTTTCAGTAACATACTGCTGCACATCAAAGCACCCCAAACTCGTTTCATTGTATCTTAACCTGCTGTTAACCGGCTAGATCCCAGCTGAGTGGGTTTCACTGCTAGCTTTGCTCTGGGGTTTTTCAGGGAGTTACACTGAGATGGTGACATTCACTGGGCTAGACATGTGACAACTGCTGGGCACAAAGGAGGGTAGCTGGGGTCAGTCAGTAAAAGCAGGAGTCACTGGGTCCTGGTACAAGACTGGTGGCCCAGGTGGGCACAAGTGGCCCAGAGTGAACTGTATAGTGCTGTGCAAATCACCCAGGAAAGTGGCATTCCTAATCTTTCTCCCCCACTCAGGCACTGTCCCACAATCTGATGCCCTGTCTCCTACAGTCTCTTGCCTTTTCATAAGAGCTCTGTCTTGCCAGGGTAAAGGATAGGATAAGGCTCATCTCTTTACTCACAATGACTTGTGACTGTGTGTGTGTGTAAGACTAAATATAGTCTTTCTGATGCAGTAACAAATGACTTGAGGCTGGCACCTTGTAAAGAGTGAAAGTTTATTTGGCTCACAGCTTTAGAGGCTTGGAAGTGAAAGAGCATGAATCAGTATCTGCTCTGCAAGGGTGAGGTCCTTCTTACTGCCATGTAATGGCAAAGAGCACCACATGATGGGACAGAGCAAGTAGCCCAGCTGGAGTCTCTGCTTCTCTTCTTATAAACCTACTATTGCCATGATGAAGTCCCCAAACTCGCAATCTTAGATAATCCTAATTTCCTCCCACTTAGACCACCTCCGAAGACTCTTTAAGGTGACTTCAGTGGTTAAGTTTCCAACCCACAGACATTTGAGGAAAACAAAATCATAGGGCTTGAGTTCTGTTTCTCTGGGGAAACCAGACTCACACAGCCAGTGATGAAGCTGACCAACTAGGCAAGGTCTCATGGCCCACGTTCTGATACCCACACAGCCTCCCTGGGGATAGGAGCCCCTGGCAGGTGTCAGCGTGAGACTAGCGAGAGGGCAGGCACATCTGTGCTCCCCAGAGTCCATGCTGCTGCCCTCAGGGTGCACAGAGAGGGCAGCTGCAGTGGAATCAGGAGACCCGTAGGGCTGTTTATCATCGCTGTGGTCGGGGATGGAGATTCCTGCTCCCAGACACAGACAGCATGGCCTTTATTCACAGCTGCAACCCTGGGAACACTGGGTTTCACTCTTCCTAACATAGGTGACCACATGAAAGTGCAGATTTGTGGGGGAAAGAGGACCAACCTGATATGCAACAGAAACTAAGCAAAGTTTGAGTTTAAAAAACAAAACAAAACAAGGTGACATCAGGGTGGCTGGAAAAATGTCCCTAAGGTTTGGTCCCTCCACCAGAGTGCTGGGATAGGAACAGTGGGAACAAGCTTGGGGAGGGGCACAGATGGTCACTAGGAGTGTGAGTCGAGTTTCCAGAGTGGAGAAGAAGAATCTCACTGAGGCCTCACAGCCCTGAGCCGCTGGTTACTTCCAGGCCTGCAGAACAAGCACAAGTCTCAGATCAAAGTTAGCCCTTTAATTTTAATTCTAGGGAGAGCAGAACAGCTCAGGATGTCTTAGAAGTTGAGGGCCTATCACTGGACCCCCTGAAGTGGGGTAGTCCTGCTCACCACTGGGGAGGAAGCTGAATATGAAGAGAAAGTCGGCTCCCACGCCAGTCCCCCAATCAAGGTGAGGACCAGGGACCAGGAGCCCTCCAGCTTCTCAGCCTCACAGATGCAGGAAGAGGGGCCTCCTGGGAAAGGGGATGGGGACACTGCTCTGCCCTCAGGCCTGGCCTCCCTCCCCCCATATGAAACACCTGCCAGGTTGAGGCCCCAGCTCCTGTGCTGCAATGATGCTGCACAGAGAGGCTCACGGGAAAGTGCCGGGAGCCCAGTGGGTGCTGAGCCTGGCAGTGACTCCCCCTCCATCCTCAACCCCTACACGGGACAGCCCCAGCACCCCAGATCTGGAGACCAGGTAGAGACTTAGGGTTTTTCCCTTCCAGGTCCAGCTCAGGTCAACCTCGCACACCAGAAGTGTGAGTCTGGGCCTCCAGGACAAACAGTGATGTACCATTGCTCAGTGTCTTCTGGACTGGGGGTGTGTGAGAGACACCACAGAGGGCGAGGCTGAGTCCTGCTTGCTTCCCACAGAAGACCCTCACTTTCCATGCTAACGGAAATTGGACATGTGACTGTCAGGCCCAGGGACATAGACACCCAAACCCAGCCCTCAGAAGTGGCTCAGAGACTCTAGGAAGAGAGAGGCAGAGCTGAGGGGGGAATTCAGGGCCTAGTCATGTGAGTACACAGCAGGAGGGAATCTCAGATGGAGAGATGATGTGCTAAATACTGAAACGGATGGAGGGAATCATGAGGGCCACGGGGATGTGGGAGGACCAGGGGCGCAAGGAACCATGTGTGCCGCAGCATGAGAAACACGAGTGTGGTGGAAAAGGGGGCAGTTCCTCAGCACAATTTCTGAAGGTTTTCTCCCGTCTCTGCTGCCATCTCCTCTGCTCATCGCTGGATGGGGGATCTATACTGAAGGCATCTGACAACCTCCACCAGCTCTTTTTGATGAAGACTTGAATCCAACTTGGCTGACACAGTTGGGATTTGTAACTGAGCTTGTGACAGCTAACTTGAAGACCTATCATGACCACTGGGTGGCTACACCGCCTGTACAAGCTGCGTTCCTGATTAGTGAGCCGAAAAAATAGATGCTAAAATCTGTAATTTAATATCCTATGGAGTCAAATAATAAGCACATCAGACTAATATCTACCAGAAGAATTTAGTAGTAAATTTTCTTTGAATACTATATATAAATAGCATAAATAATTTTAATATACTAGTCATGATATATGCAGTATTTTAAAATGACTTTAATTCAGTTAAAACATTTTATTTCAAAGAATGAATAACACTGATAAAAACCCTACATTGCCGGGCATGGGCACATGTGTATAATACCAGCACTTGGGAGGCTGAGGCTGGAGGATTGCCATGGATTTGAGGCCAGCCTGAACTCCATAATGAGATTCTGTCTTCAACCCCCCTTACCCCCAAAATTAAGGGATTTTCCCAAAAGAAAAGTCATGGCCTTATAATTACACTATTGTAGAATGTTTAATTTCGATGGATGCAGGTTGTCTATAAAGACCACTTAATTATATAAATTGCCTTATGTAATAGAGAACAAGATACAATTATAAATTTCCCAGAGTTGGTGCACTAAATTGTTGCTTTTCCAGTGAGGACTCTAGGTAGTCCCCTTGGGTGGTCAGGGTTTTTTTGACTGGATGTTAGTAAAAAGGCATCTGTTTAGTATCTTTACCCTTTGTTACTCTGGATTGCTGGATTGAATCTCATACTCAACTTTTCTGCACTCTGGAAATTAGCTTTATTTTAAGGAAATCTATATCTACTTTAAAAGACTGCATATAGAAAAAAATCACCGCCAAATCTTTTGGATATTATCATAATAACACAGGGTTAAAAATCAATCATGAAAAACCAGACCTGTTCCCCATTGTGTCATTCTTTTTTTTTTTTTTTTGGTCTTTTTGAGACAGGGTCTCATGGTGCAGTTCAGGCTGGCCTTGAGTCCACTTTGTAGCCCAGGCTGGTCTTGAACTCGCAACGATCCTCCTGCCTCAGCCTCCCGAGTGCTGGGATTACAGGCGTGAGCCACCACGCCCGGCTACCCCATTGTGTCATTCTTTATCTCTTCTACAGCATGATTTTTAAAACGTCTGCATCTTCGATATGTTGTGTATATTAATACTATATTGTTTCACCTTTCCACCCTGAATTCAAGTGTGTTAAAATAAATGGAACATTTTAACTTAAAAGAGAGAGAGAGAGAGAGAGAGAGAGAGAGAGAGAGAGAGAGAGAATCCCACCTTCCTGAAGTTCATGTTCTCTAAGACATATGAGGGAGTTGAGTAAGGTGTGTGTAAGGTGTGGAGTTTGGATTCTGGTAGAAGGGGAAGTGCAATGAATTCATAGCCCCACAAAGGGGCCTTATGTGTCTACATTGTCACATTCTCCTTTTTAACTTCTTCAATCAGCAAGAAGAGAGAAAACGCAGAATTGTGAAATCAGAATATTAGGGTTTCTCTGTTTGCAACATATCCCGTGTTTTCTGACTGGAAGCTACACAGATGTTGGCACTTTATATGCCAATGCATTCATCACAAGTAAAAGAATTTTTCATCTTGGCAAAAGGGATTTTACAAAAGAATTATGGAACATCATGCATCATAAAGAAGAGCTGAAAGATCTGTTGGAGAAGATGGTCCTCTGTAAGTCTCTGATACTCTTACTCATTTTGCTAGGTACACATAAAGTCTGGTACAGCGACTTGTCTTCACCTAGACAAGTTCTCTGAATTGTGTTTGCAGTCAGAAACCTTGGTGGGTAAGATAATATCTCCTTCCAGGACAAAGAGCAAGCTCATTTACCCCTGGCTATAAAGGAATGTGATTCTCCAGCTTTCTAGTTTTGCCACTTGGGGACCTAAAGCTGAGACTGAGGTTTCTCTGAGACTGAAGTTTATCTGAGAGCTGAGCTGAGCTGAGACTGAGGTTTTTCTTTGTTCGATCAACAGGGTTTACTAACACCCAGTCCTTATTCCCATATGTGCAACATAGGGCACGATGGAGGCCCTTGAAAGTTCTATTTACAGACAACAATGATGCAATCAAGATAGTGATAGAGGAGGAAGAAGATCTGGAATGAAAATGTTTTGCAAAGAACAGAATTATTTTTAAGTGTCAAAACTATTGAGAGCTTATTCTAAGTCAAGTACTCTTCTGGGTGAAGAAAATAGGAAAAATACTTCCACCATGTTTTAGGGTCAGTAAAGACTTTCCCTGAGAATAGGCAGTGAGGAATCATTGCCCAGGGTCCCAGAGCTGGGCAGATATAGAAGGAGTACATCCAGGCTAGCCCCCTGCTTCTCTGCTTCGGGACATGTCACTGTGTGACAGTGGCTAGAGATGCATCATGTAGGCAGGAGAGTTTGCTAACTAACCAGAGAGGTGTCAACTCATGATGACACTGAAGGAATCGGTGGGAACCTTGTGGATTTCTAATGTCATCGTGAAGAGTGGCATGCGTCTAGAGTAGGGGAGGTGAAAGAGTGAGCTCCTGGATTGAGAAATCATTCCTGTGTGGTGAGATGAGAAACACCAAGGTGCAGAGGAGGGCAGAGTGAGATGAGAAACACCAAGGTGCAGAGGAGGGCAGAGGCCAAGAGACTAGGAGGGCACCAGGGTGAGGGTCCTAAGGGAAGAGAAAGAGGGTAAAACATGATCTGCAGGAGCAGGCGTGCACATGTTGGAAAAGGAAGTACCTGAGCCATTTTCAGGGAAGGAAATTTATGAAACTCATTGTTTCTGGGGTGCAGTGTATTAAAAGGAAACATCTTTTGTAATTCTAGGGATCTTCATTTGGAGAATGATAGCAGTTCTATCATTAAGAGTAGAAAATATGATAATGTGGGGCTTCCAGTAGACTGGAGAAGGCAGAAATCTGTGACAGTCATCAGGGGACAATCATAAGTAAGTAATGATCAGAGGGGGAAAGGACCATGGCTGAGCTGTGGAAACTCACTTCCAAAGGACCATGGGCTGGGAGGAATAAGGGATAAACACAGAAAGGTAATCAGTAGTCTTTAGACAGATTCCTCAGAGGGAGAGAGACAGACAGAGAGAGAGAGAGAGAGAGAGAGAGAGAGAGAGAGATTGAGAGAGAGAGATTGAGAGAGAGAGAAAGATCCACTGACCTCAAGTCTCCAGAGGCCATGATTATTCAGGATATTTTTCAGTATGAAGATGTAGAACCCTAAGACATGGCCTCAAATTACCTTGAGAGCCTGGGTGAACCAAATTCAGCAGAAACTAAAGAGTAGCAACAGTCTGTTGTGAACCTAGATTAGAAGTGAGGAGTACCATCAGCAACTTCAGAGAAGACCAGACTGGAAACTCCTCGATTACAAAGTGTCCACAAGTTATGCCTTGACCAGTTTACCATGTATAGACTGTCCTGCCAAGATTCCTAGTTATTGCCAGTCCATCTCTACTGCATTTCCTAGAATACATAAATTCCTCCACTACCAGCCACTCAGGGAAAGACTGAGCTTGCCTCCTGTCTGCTTCTTCAAGCAGTGTTACAAGTTGGGTAATATGCCATGCCCCATCATGCCTTTTCACAGAAAGGGTGTCAGCCAGATTCTGTGGAACACCTAGAACACAATGATTTAGCAAAATGGAACTGGTCTTGAGCAGGATCTCCTATCCAAGGTTCATGGGCATTGGGAAGGAAGTGGCACTGATATCCTTCCAGAATCCAGACATAAACTACCAAAAACTCTGACCTCTTCATTTCACTTTCTCTTCGCTCAGGGACCCAGAGGTTGTAGTCCCTCTCTCAAGGAAGTGATGGACAAGAGTCTTCTTTCTGTGGTCACAACAGGCTGTGAATTTCATGCAATGGATGAACCAAATGACTTCAAGGTAGCAGCAGGAAATGAACACTAAACTTTATAGATTCCTTGGAGCTTCAGATATGAGTGAGTGCTGAATCCATGGGAATGAAGGAAGGACCCTCTCAGAAGGTCCTGGCATAAATCCTGTCAGACTCTCCAAGTTTCCAGGTTCTAATGACCATAGTACATAAAAGTCAGGTGTCTGGAAGGAAGGGAAGGGAAGAGGAGAGAGGAAGCAATGTGGGCACCTGAGGGGAACACCAGACTGTAATCCTTAAAGTGGCCTCTGTCTCAAACCTAGAACTCTATAATTTCTGCATCCTAAGAGTGGTTAGGATTAGGTTGGACTTCTCCTTGGTGAAAAATTTTGATTTGAGATTTTGCATATCTTGTCCCCAATCCCACTTATCATAGTGAAAACCAGAGTCATCCTGTGCCTTGAATAATTCTGAGGACCCTCCTCCCTACTTGATCCCCAGTACAGAAGATCACTGTCAACATGTCCTGGTTACAGTGAAGGTGATGTCAAGAGTTGCAGAGATCAGGTTGAGGAGCAAGATCTTCTCCTGGGGGTGTCAAGAAAGATTCTCATTAGGGAAAACTTTGAGCACCAACATAAATGCAAAGAAGATCCTATAAAGGGAGTCAGTATCTAGCACCAAGACATGCATGTGATGAAATTCAAGATCATCAAAGCTCTGGCCAAGAAAGGTGTATTCATTATCTACTGCTGCATAATAAATTATTTCAAGACTGAGTGTCTAAAAAAAAAAAAAAAAAGCATTATCTCATGGTTCCACTGGGCCTGGGATCAGATTGCAGCTTGGCTGGTCATGTGACAGAGGGTCTGTCATAAGCTGTGATTTAGTAGCCAACAGATGCTATAATCTTTATGAGGCTTACAGGATGAAATTCCAAGAAATTTGCTGGTTGCTGGCAAGAATCAATTCCTCAAAGCATTGAACTAAAGGCTTCAGTTTTGCATTGGTGGTTTTGCTAAACTTCCCTCAGCACCTGGAAACATAGGCTTCTCCAAAAGGCAGCTCACAGTATGATCTGCCTTCATTGCAGCGAGAAAGAAGGGAGCAAACAAGGCCAAAGTCAGCCTTTCATAAAGCGACCTTGATGGTACATTTACCACCTTAGAAGCAAGTAGCTGGGCCCATTGCACACTGGCGGGAGGAGATTAGCCAAGGGCATGGTTGTGCTTTGGATGTGATTTGTCCCCTAGGGGTTCACAGACTGAATGCTTAGTCCACAGTGTGCAGATATCACAGGAGATGGGACCTTAAGAGGCAGGCCTGGAGAAGGTTATTGGAGCGCTGCCCTCAGAAGAGATGAATGGAGGATTTATGGGATTTTAGTTCACAGAAGAGGGAGTTGTTAGAGCTTGCCTCATGCACTTAACCACTTTTGCATGTGACCAGTTCCTGTTTCAATTTTGTACCATTTGGGACCCAGCCAGTTCTACTTGATACTTCTATCCTTTAAAATTGCAGACCAAATAATCCTATCTTCTTAGCAGAATAGCAAACCTCAGATATTTTGTTACAGAAACCGATAATTAGTACACAAACATGAATAAAAGAGAGGAATCATAAAGCCCATCTTTGAAGTTTGCCTGTAATAATCATGTATAAACAGTAAGGATCTGTCCTTGAGTGGAGAGTGGGCTTGGAAAGAGGAGGGAGGATGAAGCACCCTTAAGGCAATGATCACACAAGGTCCTAAAAATCAAGCCAGAGAATTCAGAGAAGAAGCAGATGTGAGGATTCAGGGCAGGGAGACAACCTGAACTAGGACAACAACCATAAGGATGGATATTGGGGCCGTATGAGAGATATTGACAAGAGAAGTAAAGGAACAATCCTATATGTAGCAAATGTTGGCATTCTGTAAGACCACAACCCATTCTGTTTACTAAAAACAAAACAATTTCATGAAAGAGGTAGGGAACTGATCTAGACATAAGTCATAGGAAGCATACACCAGTTCAACATATGAACTTTCACTCCTGGAATGACATAAAACCTCATGGCAGGGAAGCATTCCCATGCAATAACCAGGTAACAATTATGAGGTAAACCAGGGATATCCAGCCTGCTCTGAGTGTGGGAGAAAACTCAGCAGAGCTCTTAACATTCTGCAAAGGTTGATCCAACAAATGAAAACATGGGGAGAACTGAAGTATGTCCAGCTCAAAAGGCTGAAAATTTTTTTGATATCCTCACAAAGATTTGGAAATGTAATTTTTTCCTCAAGTATACTGGGTGCTTCTTCCTCAAGACAGTTGTAGGATTTTTAAGCCAATAATGTGTTTAGAAATACAGAAGGCAACTTGGAAAGAGTTGTTTTTAAAGAAATAGGATTATGTCCATTTTCCCAAAGTCTTAGTATGACCTGCCTTCTGGATCAAATCAAAAGAAGAGACCATTCTGGTTGAGAGGACACAGAAGTCTACATGTAAGACACAGAGATTCAGTGAATAAGACAGGAAAGGTCCGTCCTTAGTTCAAGAGGGAAAACTACACAGGTGAGGTCAGAAGTTAAGAGAGGTGTTAGGGTGTCACTGAGATAGGAGAGTAGGGTGTGGTTAGGGTGGAGAAGTAGGCATGAATCTGTTAACTACAAGATCCCAGACACATGCAGAATGGATCCTAACCCCTGCAGTGAACTCAGGAGAACTCACTCAGGTTTTCAATGGGATGGCCTAGGTTTGATGTCAGCCTGAGGCATGGTATCCCAGCACTGCCCCTCAAAAGTAGAAGTTCTCATGGGTTTCCTCGAGATTTTGATAGTATTAAATAAATGCAGCCATGAGGAACCAGTGCGGTCATACCTCTCTGTGATAGCCCACACCGTGTGACCCAGATGCAGTGTGTAGTTTTATCTTTGCTCTCGCTGTTTTTCTCTATTTACTCACCTCTTTATTTTTGCTTTCTTGAATAAACTTTGCCACTGCTTTTTGCTTGTTTCATTCAATTCTCTGTCCTAGGCAAGAAGAATCTGGAATCCAACTCCAGAAGGTGAGGTGAGCTATTTAGAACTAGACAGCCATTTTTAAGAAGCAAGCTACCAGATAACAGGACCATGAGGAGAAGAGCTGGGGTCACATAGTCTTAGTTGTGGAGTTAGCTATCACAATTTCATAAGAAAGAGGTTTGATGCCCAGTACTCTGCATCACATGGTGAGGTGTTAGATCCTTCACTGCTGTGCTGGGTGCAAAACTTGGTTCTGAGCCCTGGGATGGAGAATGGACAGTTGATTGTTGTATAAGTTTGCAGCAGAATTGTGGAATCCATGCATGGCTTCCTACAAGTGCAAGCAGAATCCAGTTGAGTGCCATGGATCCAGATGCAGCCAGCCCCCAACTCTCTTCCCTAAAAAGGTGAGGTCTGGGGGCCAGCAAGTTCCTGTTTGACAGACACAGGTACAGAGACATGAATACCTGAGGAGAGAGAGGGAGGTAAATGGAGAAGGAAGGAGAAAAAAGAAAGGACAAGACACAGGCAAGAAGAAAAGAGATAGAGGGAAGAGGAGGACAGAAAGAAGATGGAGGAGAGAAAAGAGGGAAAGAAGGAGCAGGGCTCATCTACTCAGATGAGCCCTCACCCAGCTAAGTGTCCTAGACCCTTCTATCATCAGCCTATCCACATCCTGCCCTTTTGATTCAGAGCCCTGTATGTCCTGTCCACACTCCCATATGCCATAATGGGTATCAGATTAGCCTTATGTCTTAAGCGATTGTGAGAACCCACATACTGGATGTCTTTAGTTCTACCTCTAGTTCTAGTTCTAGTTCTAGTTCTAGTTCTAGTTCTAGTTCTAGTTCTAGCTCTAGCTCTAGCTCTAGTTCTAGTTCTAGTTCTAGTTCTAGTTCTAGTTCTAGTTCTAGATCTGTAGAAGGTCTCTGGCTGCAGTGCACTGTCAGCACGCTGTGATTACAGTGGCAGCTATGACCAGTGCTGTGGAGCTCAAGTGGGAGCAAGGACCACTCTTGGAGGTGTTGTGAATGATTCTTGGTGGGGGAGAAACTGATAACTATAAAGATGAGAAGATCAAGGGAAGGGAGGCCGTCCTTGCATCAGGATGAGAGTGTGAGAAACCCCCAAATGATCAAAGCTCTTACCAAAAGCAGTGTGTTAATTATCTATTCCCACATAACAAAGTACATCAAGACTCAATGACTTAAAACAGAACATTTTCCCCTAGTTTCTTTGAGTCTGGAGTCAGAGTCCAATTTTACTGACCCCAGGACAGAGGGTCTGTCACAAGATGCAATCAAGATATCAACTGATCTTGCGATCATTCAGAGGATCACCGAAAAGGATTCACTTCCAGGATTCTCCTTGGTTGCTGGCAAGAGTCTGTTCCTCAAAGTGATTGGGCCAAGGGCTTCAGTTTCTCACTGGTTATTGGGTTAATGCTGCCCACAGTTCCTAGCAATACAGATATTTAATAAAGCAGCTCATAGCACGATCTCCCTTTTTTAAACTGAGAAATCCAGTACAAGAACAGGCCAGATACAGTATTTTATGGTGTGATCCTGGTGGTAACACCTATCACCCCGACCACCTTCCCTCTGCTCTGCTCATTAGGACACAGTTATGAGGTCCAGCACGCATGGAAGGAAGAAAACTATATAAGTTGTACCTGTGGTTTAGATTTGGTTTTTACTCAAATGATGCCTGTGCTAGAAGCGTGGTAACCCTGTGAGTCAATGTCAAACGTCTCAGAGCCTTGGAAGTGAGGCCTATTATAATGCTCAGTGGGCCATGGCTCTCCCAAGAGACTAGTACAAATTCTGCAGAAGGTCAGTTCTCACAGAAGCTAACTATTACAAAACTATTTTACCCTACACATCAGACTACTTCTGCATGTGGCCAGTTCTTCCTTCAGTTCTCCATCATTGTTTATCCAGTCAATAGGGCTCTGGCAAAGACAAAATTATGGGCCACCAAAACTATGGGCCTAATAAATCTACCTGCTGAATACATTGTTTGTGCTCGTGTACTTGTTGTGGTGCTGAAAATCTGTATCGCAAGTGTCAAATTAAGAGGTGGAGATCATTGAGCCCATTTCAGAAGGCTGTCCAATCCAATATCTAACAAATAATTATGGGACCCTAGTTGGAGGGAGATCTTCTAGAGAATGATAGGGAGTGAGGAAGGACTACTCTTGAGGGGCCTGGTCATGATCTTGCTGGTTATACACAAACCATGGTGCAGGGACTTCTCTTAACCTGCCTAAGTCTGCAAGGTTACATCTGTAGGAAGGGATGAAATAATGTCTCCTTCTAGGACATGGAGCAGGCTCATCATTTGCTACACAGGAAGTGAACTCTCCAGCTTGCCTGTTTTGCCTTCCAGGATTCATTGATCCTAGGCAGATTTCTCTTCTGTTAGCAAAATTTAATGAATTTCTCTTGGAGCCAAAATGTTCCACTTCCTGTTCCTGTAGGATCACCAATTTGCAGGTTAAGACTATTGGAAGTATTACAATACCAAAACAATCAGAATTGTTAGGGCAGGCACAAAGAACGGGGATAGGAAGATCTTGCACAAAACATCATTTTTACCTCCAACATTATTAACCGAAAGAGCAACATGTGTAAAGTAGCATTCCAAGTGAAGAAAATAAACAAAAATGAGAAAGAATGAGATGGCTGCGTTAAGGAACAGAATTTGCTAACTTACTCATGAATCAAATCTTGGTGACACTGAAGGAATGAAAAAGAACCAGACCTCACAGGACTGCACTATCAGACTGGAGGGTTTAGTAAGAGCAGAGGGAATTGGTGCCCAATAGGTGGGAAGAGAGTGCGGTGATCTGAGGGGAAGAGCAAGAGAATAAAGCATGAGCTGGAGCAGGAGCGAGGGGAACGTTGGAAGAGGAAGTAATGAGAGTCCATTGCAGAACAGAATATCTGCAAGACACCGTTTCACGGGGTGTGGCGGGTCAGAGGAAGATATCTGTATCACTGCATGGTCCTCATTTGGATAGTCATGATGATTCCGTCATCAAATCTGGAAAATGTGGTTGTCTAGGGCTCCCTGTAGACTGAAGAGAGCAGAAAGACATAAGAACCTCACAGGAGAACTTTGAGAAATCAGCAGAGAGAAAGAGGACAAGGTGTGAACTGTTGGAACTTATAAAAGGCTGCTGGGGTGAGAAAAAAAAAGGACAAGACTTAGAGAGGTTAACAAGATCCATCAGAGAGAGTTTTCCTGGCATCAAGGAGAAAAGGAAACCAGAGACTGTTTCCTCACCTCTAATGTGAAGTTTCCAGAGGTCTTAAGACTCAACCCTACAAGTCCAAAGTTTCAGAACTGAGAAACTGTTCAGGCTGTGTTTTAAGACTTGGGTACAGAACCCTAATGGATGAACTGAAATGACCTTGATATTCTAGAAAATCAAAAAATCTTCAGTGACCCAAAACTGTGGAGCAGGTAGAGGGCTTTGTGGACCTACAGAAGAGGCAAATGTCCATTCACCTTCAGCTCGAGGGGCTAGAATGATGGAAGGACTGGAAATCCTCAGTGATGATGTGTCCATCAGTCACCAGTAGAGCAGCTCACCATGCATGGGTTTTCCTACCAACACTCCTGGTTTTGACCAATCAGCTTTTAATTCCTTTTCCCTGGGCATTTAAATTTCTTCTTCATTATCCAAACAGTGAGGAAGGTTTGAGTGTGCCTCCTGTTTCCTTATCACCATATTGAAGATCTTTCTTTTTGTCAAAAGTGTTGGCCACAATATTGGCTTCCAGGGATTGAGATTGAAGCCTTGCTCAGTGTTGGTATCAGCTGTGCTCATAGCTATGCCACTGTGGTGGCAAACAGTTACTCTGAAGGATCTAGGACAGAGTTACTTGGCAGAAAGTAGTTGGTGTTGACCCACACTCTCTCACTGCAGAAGGTTCATGCATATGGGGAAGTGGAAACTGATATCCTTCTGGAACCATATTAGTTGCCAGAATCCACACCCTAATTACCAATTGCCACACCCATTTCCATTCTCACTTCTCTTGGGAACCCAAGTGTCAGAGTCTGTCCCTCAAGGCCAGAAAAGTGAGTTCTCTCTATAGTCACAATAGCTCCATGAATTTTGCCCAATAGGTTATCACGGTGGCTCCCAAAATGCCAAGGTAGGTTAGCAATGGGCTGGAAGGTCTTCTTGAATCTAAGGATATCAGAAGGGCTCCATCAGTGAGAATTGAGGTGGGCACTCTGGCCGACATAGGTCAGATTCTAGGGTACCAGGCTGTAAGGAATGCCAGGGGCTTATCAAACCCCTGAATACCAATGAAGGGAATGACAGAGAATATAAAAAGACCAAAAGACAAATTTTGAGGTATAAGGAGATCGGGAGGAGCCTACCTCTAGTGTACAGGCACACCAATCTCTGCAGTTGGCCCAATATTATTAGCAAGTGAAGGGCACAGGGAAGGGGGTGGTGTATTTTTCCTGGAACAGTGACTGTGATAGGGCAAAGTTAATGGACAATGAAATTTCAATGTGCCTTCATTCTTTAGGTTGTCCTCATCAGATGTTATCTTGCCTAGGAATTATGCAGTTATGGACCTTCTCTTTGCAGCCAGGAAGCATGGCCACCTTCTGCATACTTCTGTCCCCAACACAGGTCACACCAGCCTCAAGACAACAGGATTCTGGTCATGTAACCTGGTCCCCAGCACAGTAAAATATTTCATATCCCCTGATCCCCAACAAACAAATATGGCATTTAAGTATCAGATGTCTGGGTCAAGACCAAGGAGGAGATGGAGCACTCTGCATACAAGCAGGGAAGGCATGCTCTGGAATGAGAGTTGAGTTTCACTGCCTGTGACAGTGTCTGTCACACACTCCAATCAAGACATTAAGCGAGTCTGTAATCATTTCAAAACTTTAGAGCAACGGTCCAATTACAGGATATTTTCTGTTTTCT